GATTATTGAGCCCAGTGTGGTGCCCTGCTCTGCTCTGCGCTGGGCTGATCGCACCAGAGTGAGAGAGAGTTTGGATCCCGTCCAGCAAAAGAGAGAGAGAGAGAGAGAGAGAGAGAGAGAGAGAGAGAGAGTCTTGTCAGACGATGGAGTGGATGGCCTTTTTTCTGTTTTTTTTGTTTTGAGAGGCTGTTGGAGAGGCCTGTTGACCTGATTTGAGATTTTTACTTTTTGGGGGTGGCTCGTAATCAGTTCAGGGATGATTGTGTCGGCCCTCTTTCACTGTAACTGATGAGTTTCAGATGAGTCAGCGGGGGGACTCCTGTTGAATTTCACTCAAAAGCACACGCTGTCACGCTAGAGAGGAAACAACCCGGCCAACATCTACACTCCAAAAAAATATATACAAATTTTAAGCAAACTTTTTATACCAATAATTATAATTTGATACGGTTTTGTTCTGTGATTGGCCGAGCTTATTCCAAAAGGTCTTGCAGCGTTATTTCTCCTCTCCCTCTCTCCTACTAATAATAAGTGGTCGTAACAAGAGCCCACGTTGACATGACTGTAGAGCGCAGGGCGTGTGAGGCAAGACTCATGTCCAAAAAATCCAAGGAGGGGTCGGCCACTGATTCTGATCACTTCCAGCCTCTGACAACACACACACACACACACACACACACACACACACACACACACGTATAAGCCTTAACCACGACACCCTCATGAGCCTCATCATCACCACTCCAGTTCTCCTCCTCCTCATCATCATCATCAGTTACTCTGAACATCCTGTGTATCCTTACAGGTCATCAGTGGTTAATCTCCTCCACATTGCGTTGTTGCTCCTCAGACGTCTCAGTCTCGACCCGTGGGAGTGGCGGCTCGCACCATCCGTGACCTACCGGCAACAATGTGTGTTTTGTCTGGGCCACACCAATCGGAGGTATTCTCCATGCATTCCAACCCCGCCGTGTGGTCGAGAGGGGGGGAGACAAATTAATATCCACTCCATTTTTTTTTTTTTCACCCTTCACGCCCTCCATTCACCTCTCCTCAAAACACGCCCCCCCCCCCCGTCCAAGTGAGGCGCAACACGGCACCTGCCTCACAGCTGTCAGCGCAGCACCCCCCACACACACACACACACACACACACACACTCACACACCAGCATTTCTCTCTTGTTATTGTTGCATCAATTTCCAAATTCCGATGAAATCTTCTGACTCTTTCAGCCTCATGAGTCGTTGTTTTTCTCACCATGACCTCATTTCTGTTTCCCCTCGTCTTATTTTTCATTTTAACCTCTCACAAATTTCCAAATTACATTTATTTTTCTTCTTTTTCTATGAATTTTGAAACCTTTGCTCATCATCTTCATCTCCAAAATTCCTCATTTCGACCACCAATGTGATGGTGGTAAGAATTGTATTAAAATGTTGTCATGTTTTTTGATTGACACTGAAACAGATTCCTGATACTGTGGTGTTTTTGATATCTGTGTGCTTGAGTGTCCTTAAAGGCATCCTAAAACATTAGAATGAAAATATTGTCGATGCTCCAACATGTCCCTGCATCTGGTCAAGCGGTTGCCGTGTGTATCCGTCTGCTTCTGTTACCAGGTTCTGCTTACATTAATTCATGAATTATTGCTATTTTTATAGACATGTCTTGTAAATAATTTTGGCAAAAAATTACAAAACTAGAGCACTAAACCAAAGTTTCTTACCAAAAAAAAAGAAAAAAAGGAATGTACTAATAAATAAATGTATTCATATCACCATGGTAACATGTTTAATGCTTCCTTGAAAATCTTGTAACCCTGGGACCGTTAGGAAATACTTGATGATTTAAGGTTACATTAATGTATGTGAGGTTTAGGACACCGCTGGTCACATATTGTGGTCGTTTGTGCGGTTCGAGGGAGGCCGACTGAAAAGACACTCACAGTAAGTAAATCTATAAATATGTTTATTACTATAATGTGTTGATGCCGATCTATGTTCAGAAAAGTCAAAAAATACCAAACCGGCCGATCGATTCGAGCCTCTTAACAGGCACAGTTATATGATTTTTGATTTCTCAAGTTGAGTGTAAGGACCCCGGGTGGGTTGCTGTCATCAATCACAAGTGAGATGACATCATAGCTGTTTGAAAAATACAACGCAGAGTAATATGTGTGTTTTCTCTTCAACGTTTATCGAAGGCTACGAGGGTAATATTCATGATTCTGACATGGGCGACACAGAGCCTTCCAAACCGCCTGATTTCAACCTCTCTCTCTCCTGATTAGATTATCTGTGTAACTACATGGTCCGAGGCGTTTCGCTGTCTCCTTCAGGTTGTGTTTACTTTCAATGAGGATTTCATGTTGCTTTGGGGGGAAAGGGAGAGGGAGGTGAAGGTGCAGCTTTCATACCTTAAAAAAAAACAACCCCAGCATCCAAAACATGTGTTGTGCTTTCACATGTTGGAATGCCGCTCTTTTTCCTGAAGTTGATGAAGCAATACAAGCCTTTTCTTTCACTTATCCCGTAATCCATGAATGAGGTGAGGAAAATTTCCTACGCCCCGAAACTGGACAGATTCATGACAAGGGGGCCCGGAGAAAGTCCAGATATTCCGGCTCGACACCACCCACAGTGTGATGTGAAGACAAAGCGTGAAACAGAGGGAGACGAAGGAAGTGGAGGAGAGCGAACGGAGAGCGAGAGAGAAAAGAAAGAAGGAGGTGGAGGACTTTTAGGAGGGGAGGGGGGGAGGCTGGCTCGGCAGTATCCTGACTGTGCTGTCAATCGAAGCTGTCCGGGGAATGTAAGGGAGCTCAGAGGGCCCAGCAACAGCTGCAGGAGCCTCTTACTCACACACACACACACACACACACACACACACACACACACACACACACACACACACACACACACACACACACACACACACACACACACACACACACACACACACACACGAATAGCATGGGCCTCCTGCTACTTCATGGGTGAGACAGAGCAAACATGCGATGCCAGATGACTCAATTTTTTCCAGCACAATGACAAAAAACGAAATGTGGAAGTTATTCTAACTCGCTTTTGTAAAGGAATGTTTATTTCCACGCTACGAGACGTTTATGTGCTGTACATTTTACAAATTCATGCTATGACCGCGGCTATTATTATTTTTGAATGAAGTAAGGAGTGCTTTAATCAAATCGTACATAAACCACTTGTGGTTTTAGTAATTAAAGAGAGATATCTGAGTAACTAGTGCGAGGAATAGGGTTGGGATATTGTAATATATATTTAATCGTAATGTAACATATCGTAACAAATCATAATGTATTGTATCGTAACATAAAATATTATATCATAACATATCTTACGGTAACGTATCATACGTATCATACAGTAACGTATCGTAAAATATTGTAGCGTATTGTGTCGTATCAGAAAGTATCGTAAAGCATTGTAACGTATCATATTATATTGTAACATATTGTATCTCAACATATTGTATTGTAACATATTGTATTGTATCATATTATATTGTAACATATTGTAAAGTAAGATATTGTATTGTAAGATATTGTATAGTAACATATTGTATCGTAAAGTAACATATTGTATAGTAACATATTATATCGTAAAGTAACATATTGTATCTTAACATATCGTATCGTAAAGTATCGTAAAGTATCATATTATATCGTAACATATTGTATCATAACATATCGTATCGTAAAGTATCGTAACATCATATCGTAATGTATTGTAACGTATCATATCATAATGTATCATATTATATCGTAACATATTGTATAGTAACATATCGTATCGTAAAGTATCGTAACATCGTATCGCAATGTATCGTAATGTATCATATTGTAACGTATCATAATGTATTGTAACATATTTATAGTAACATATCGTAAAGTATCATAACGTAACATATTGTATAGTAACATATCGTACAGTATCGTAACGTAACATATTGTAAGTAACATATCGTATCGTAAAATATACGTAACTTATTGTAACGTATCATATTGTATTGTAACATATTGTATCGTAACATATCGTAACATATTGTATCGTAACAGTTTGTATCGTAACATATCGTATCGTAAAGTATCGTAACATATATCGTAACATATCATATCGTAACGTATCATATTGTATCGTAAAGTATCGTAACGTATCATATCGTAACGTAACATATCGTATCGTAAAGTATCGCAATGTATCTTATTGTATCGTATCGTTAAAGCAACTTTATAAATCTTTTTATCCTCCATGTTTAACTTAAATGGCAACAAAACATCACTAAAAACTTTGGTTATAAAAAATCTTTTCAGTCCAGTGAATGAGTCACATGATTTTTACTAATTTTGACGCAGTCTCACAACTTAGACAGATTTTAGCTCTACAACCTGATGAACCACAACTCATCCAGATACAATCCTATAAAATCGGACATTGAATCCACACTGTGACAGTATTACTTCAACAGGATTCCCTAACCCCCCTTCAATAAAAGTACATTAATAAAAATGCAGTTGTATTCGCAGATGAATTGCATCATCCAGCTCCTTCCATCAGTCTTTTCCCAACTTCACTGCATCAGACCGGCAGCGAGGGAGTTCTGAGAGATGAAAAATCATCAAATCAAACAAACTGCCGAGCACCCGTGCTGCAAGCAAGACCAACACCCCACTGTGCCGCAGTTAGACTGATTAATCGTGAAAGTGTGAGGGATTAAAGGAGGCACATCCCAGAGTTGCTGCTAATGGATTTAATATTCATGAACCCTTAATAAGCAGAGCCAAGGCATGAGGGATCCAATTTATCCAGCAGTCTGTTTTTACACTGGTGGGAAAAAAAAAAAAAACCTGTGGTGAGGCCGTGGAAGAAATCCCAACATATCCTCCTCATCTTTCCCTCAGAGTTCAGCAGCACACAGATGATATAAGTCCAAATATAACACGTTTGACTCTTAAGTACTCACCTGATGGCTCCTCTGTACTGCTGGACGGGGTCGTAGGAGGTGCAACTGGAATCTCTACTCCACAAGAAAACACAACATAGACAAAAAGAGACATCAGCGTCATTACTGTGGACGAACATGCAAAGACAAAACAAGTCAAAGATGTGAAAATTTATCAGTGTTGAGGACATGAGTAGACCAAAAGCTGTTTGATTTGTTTGAACTGATCAGCTTTCAGTTTAGTGTTTAACGCTTGTTGTTACATTAGGTAGGAAATGTATTTAATAGTCATTGATTGATATTTTGAAATGAATCGAACTGTTACTTTTGGTCTTTAATCCTAGTTAGATATGAAGTGTTGCTCTCCTTAGTTTTCTCCCTCATTTATTTCTTGACAAATCCTCTCCAGTTTTACATCTCCTTCCAAACACTTCCAAAGCTTCCTGTGTTGGGGCGCGCTGGTGGCGCAGTGGTTAGGGCGCGCGTACCATGTGTTGAGACTCTCATCTCGAGCGGTATGCCCGGGTTCACTTCCACCCGTGGCCTCCTTCCTCATGTCGTTCCCCACTCTTTCTCCCTGGTTTCTGACTCTATCCACTGTCCTCTCTCCGCATTAAAGGCACAAAAAAAAGAAAAAAAAAAGAAAAGCTTCCTGTGCTCATATGTCATACGAGGGACAGACTACTCGACTCTTCTAAAGTAAAGCAAAACGCGAAGAAAATTTAGTGTATTTAATGCGGCTAAAAACTGAATCACAGCGTGTGAAGGTTAGCAAAGTCAAATTGGTTTGCCGAGTCTGGCTAGCATTAGCAGTGCGAGTACCACCAGCCACCTAGCAGGTTAACGTCCACATTCCTGTGCTGGAGTCTTGCTTACACATGCCGGTTTAACCTGACAAAAAAAAACCCGCGTACAACTTTATCCATTTATTTCGATCAAATACTGTCAAACCACTCTGCGCAACAAGATGCCATCTGTCCACTGTGCTGGTTCACTGCGACACTCAAATCTTACAAAGTGTTTTTGTCAGAAATGTAACAAAAAGAATAATATAAGCCACATTCACCTGACAAGTCCAGATGAACATCTTATTCCAAGATTTAAAGGCCTTATTTTTTGCATTTTATATCTTTTTATTTTATACATTTTTCTGGACTTGTCAGGTGAATGTGGCTTATGAGAACTGAAATGAAATATTTTTGACTAGAAATTAGACAGAAACACTTTTGCAGATTTGCAGTTTTTGCAGTGTTTACATCTAGGTAGTAGAGTTTGATGGCATTATGACAGGAGCCAGGTGGCAGCAGAGAGAACTCCCATGATTCCCCGCTAGCCTTCGACGTCATCTTTGTGTTGCTGTAGTATTGATTGAGTTGATTATGTCGGAATGGACGTGTCGTATCTTTATTAATTTTTCCTAAGTAGGGTGCGCGAGTGCCAAGCGGGTAGGTCGCTCCCCCATGAACGTAGGCTATAGTCCTCCATGCAGGCGGCCCTGGTTCAAGTCCTACCTGTGGCTCCTTACCTGCATGTCATTCCTCACTCTCTGGGCTCGCTCTTAAGTTTCCACAGTCCCAGTGATATTTCTGTTCTTTTAAAAGTCTACCTTTCGCCTGTTTTTGATATTTCAATTTATATTGAAAATGATTATCTTCCTTCATTAGTCCTTCATTATTGAGTAGTTTTTCCTGTCCTTCACCCTCTCTTGTATCCTGCTGCTGTAGAAAAAAACACTACAAGAGCTGTGTGATCGTCCAAACACTTGATTCTCTCAGCCCTCGCTCATCCTCTCCGGGAAGGAAGTTGACACTTGGAGAAACCAGGCGTGAAGAACTCGTTCCTTATCTCCAAAGGAGCAGGATGGCAACAGAAGATATATAACACACATAACGCTTTTTTTTTTTTTTGTCACTCTGGGCGGGAGGGGCTCATCAAAAAGGAGGAATATGAGGACAAAAGGTAAAAACCGCAGAGATGTATCAAAGGCACATGCAAAGAAAGAGTGGTGCAGAGGTGAACACTTTGTGTGTTTGAGGAAAGAGAGAAACAATCAAGTCTTCTGATTGGGTTTAAAAATCTGATTTTCTCAGCTGGGGTGAAGCAAACCTGCTTTTCCTACTTTCTTAATGTACACAACATTTAATGTGCGATGTAAATCAGGAAATCTTTGGCATGATATGCACGCCTTATGGACATAATGAGGCCTTCGCCTTAGACAAATCGGGTGTATATAACACCAAGACAAACAATTACTGCCACAACAATGGAGCTTGAAAGCCCAGAGGTGGCTTCGCCGATGTTCTTGTCGATCCCGTTCCTTCCATCAGTATTCAGTCGCCACGCGTGCCAGTTTAAATAACGAGCCTGTTCCTCATTACGCTCGGCTGTAGATTTATCTCTGACAGTGCTGGAAGGTGTACACAAATCAGAGATAAAGTCAAATGAAAAGCTGGCAAGAGCCATCGCTAAATCTGAGAGACGGCTGTTAAAGATTAAACCTGATTACGTAGTTCATCATCGGGGGAGAGACTTTTATTTACATCTCGCAGGGATCGGAGCCGCCGACACCTCGGCTCTTACTCACATTCCCACGAAATCAAACATATCGGATTGTTTAATTTATTCCTTAATTGGATCTCAGCCATGCTGTTTTATTCCTCGTAAGAATTGATTTCCTCATATCTTTTTATCAAGAGCACTGATAACAGAGTGTTTTTTTTACGAGACAACGACCCAATAAATTCTCTTTTATTTTTTAATGCAGCTTTAAGTCTGAAGTCGTCCCTCAGGTGAAATACATTTTTTTTTTAATATCATTTTGACATCAGTACAAGAGCATGTTTTGGGCTCATTAGTGGTCATAGTGGAAGCTAAGAGCACGATTGATTTTTGTAATACATCCCAGAGCTTTCTGCTAATAGGGCTAAGAAATGTTGGTGTTAACAGCCCGGGGTCTTTACTCAGATTTATTGAGACCAACAAGCCGTGGAAAGCTGCGCTGCCATAACCTTGAGGTTCACTTTAATGGTGTGTTTATTTAAGCTAGCAGATTTACTGGTCAGGAAACCGACAGTTAGCGCTGAAGAAAAAGAAGGATGAGAGGATTTAAGCAGTGTTGGAGTGCCTGCTCTTACATCGTGTGCTCCTATGTGTTAAAAGTGTGATTTTTGATGATGCATATGTGTGTGTCTTGGAGATTGCAGTGTCTTGTGTGTCTCTCCCTTGGTGGTGAGAGACTGGGTCCACGTACTTATGCAGGGGGCAATGGGCGAGCGGCTCTGCTGGTAGCCTTTAGCGCAGCGGTTGCACGTGATACCGGTCACGCCGTCTTTACAGGGACATTGTCCTGTGGTTTGGTTACAGGTTTTGCCAGCAGCGCCCACGGGATGGCAATCACATGCTGTGAGGAAACAGAGGAAGAAAGAGAGGCACAGTGAGTGGTCACACACACACACACACACACACACACACAGACAGAGACACAAACATATATCTACAGAGAGTGCGGAAGTTAAGGTAGCAGTGGTGGCAACAATTCACCATGTTCACACGGCGGCCATTTTCCTGAGTGATGTCACACTCAGGGTGGAAAGCTTGACTCCTTAAAAAGTCATGAATTTGATTTAAATCTTCCTCTTAGTCACTGATCAGGAACTGGAGAAACGTAAACATGGGAGTTACATTGGGCTAGCTACCGTAGACAACGGCTAATTTGAACCACTGCTAGCTAACACTACCATTAGCTGATAAGCTATCCCTTTCCTATTGTACGGTTCAACACAATGAAACTGTTGGGTTAGCATTCAACACAACCTAGCTTACTTTGCCTTTAGCTAACAATTCAAACGACACCATAATTTGGCTTATAGTGAGAGTTCCCGCTAGGGCTGTCCTGATACTAGACTTTTGAAATTTGATACGATTCTGGTAACAAATAAAACGATATTGATACCTGTTTCAAAACCACAGCAACAACAATAGAATCCTTGTTTTTTATCCCTAAAAGTCCCAGTCTAAATTGCACAAATACAAAAGGTTGTCATTGGTTTTGAGCAATTTGCTTTGTTTTCTCTCTGTCTCTGTCTTGGTTACAAATAAGACTCAAGATCTGGAGTTTTTTTTTGACGCTTCAGTGCTTTTAAACACCATCAAAAATCATAAAAAATTGAGATATCATTTTTGCATGTGGTATCAAAAAGTATCCAAATTTTGACCACCACCTGCTTAACAGTTTTATAGGCTAGAAAGTGGTTGAACGCCAAATTTAGCGCTGATCTGATGCTAGCTGATTGGTTTCTCCTGTTGCTGATGAACCAAGAAGCGTTGGGATGCTAACAGCTAGTCCTATGTCTAGCTGGTCACATGTTTAAAACTTTTAACCTAGGAACACAGCAGTAACAATCCTGAAACAGCTTTTTTAGCTCAGCATGACATTAGGGGAAAATGGCCGCTGTGTGAGTATGGTCAATAACAGAGTGGTGAGACACAGGTGGAGGCGTGCACAGAGAGACAGAATATAAATTCCCGTCTCAACACCAGAGAGAGCGTGGCATCCAGACTTAAACATCGACACATCCTCTGTGTCTGGAGACATTTCTTGATGTAGTCATGGGGTTTGCTAATCGACCGTTTGACAAAAAATCACATCCACCGCCATGGGACAACAGTTGTGTGTGTGTGTGTGTGTGTGTGTGTGTGTCTGAGGTAAAGACAAAGGCTTGTGCAAGTTTACCAAATGATAAAATAATGGAGGCTAATCCTAATTGCCTGTTTTTGATTTTCCCTGGCTTTGAACACCAACCCAAAACGTCTGTCACACTTCCTCCCAAACTGGGGGGTCCATCAAACACATGTGCCTCAGGAATGTAATCATTTCACAATAGCCCCCCCCCTTTCCCCCCCAATCCAAGCCCTTACTTTATTTCACTGTCAAGTTTGAAATCATCGTTGAGTAATCTTTGTCTGAGAGTTGTTGCGTTTCATCTATTTTTGGATGTATAGTGAGGAGAGGTGGTTGAATAATAGTCTCACTAACAGTCGATACTGTAAATCCTGACAGTCTAATCCAGACCAGAGCCGCCTCGATTATTCACCAACAATTTCCACGTCTTCGCTCAAAAGACCTACAAAGCCGAGAAACTCAGTTTGTCAGCAGACTTTCACTACTTTATTCCTCACCCCCATGACTGATATACTCTCTGTTTATTTCCCAGCAGTGATGCCGACTTTCAGCCTCATTGGCGTTGCCCCGCCCTGAAGATTATTCTCTGCCTTGTGTCACTTGTCAGTCTGAAAGCCTTTTCAAAGGAAAAGCTGAATTATGTGCTTTGAGGTTTTGTGGGGGTATTTAGTGGTTTGGCTTGTTTTGTTTTTTAAACCACACAGACTGTTGAGCCCAGAGTGAAAAATTACAGCCTCAAAAGAATCTGTTCATTTCGGCTCATTACATCCAAATGAGGGTTTAATGTGTTTAAATGTCAGAGCGAATACTGATGAAAAGTGGATTATGGATACAATTAAAACGCAGGTTTCTACTGTGTATTAATTTGATATATTTAGCCATGTAAATTGACTGTTGAGACTGATGTTGTTTTGGAAGTTTCAGTTTGAATGTCAGTTGTGTAGAGATGTAAGACACATGCTCCACATGACAGCAGGTCCTCTGTGTCGACGTTATACTAAATTTACCTCTTGATTGATCTTAGACTCTTGGAAACAACGTATTGCTGTTTTGTGAGATATTATGTGACGTCAATAACCGATCCATCTCCATTGTATGCATATGGAAGACCATAATTGTTTTTTTTTTAGCAAGCCACACACTCTGTCCATGCATGTTCCCAAGGGGTTACACACTCGGTGCCACAGGACCGTTCTGGTTGGCCACCCCAAATGCCCCAACATTTTCTAATCTATGATTTGCTATCTGCCTGGTCAGACGCAGAGACCACTTGGAGAAGCAAGCCACCTTCTAACGCCAGGGCTGTCTCAAAGGGGTTATATGTGGTGGCATAGGCCCCCTCTGGTTGGCCACCCCATTATTCTAAATTATGATTTGCTATATGCCTGGTCAGTGGCACTAGTTTACTTATGATGGCCGATTTAGGTTTGAAATAACAGGCTTTGGTTGCATTGAAAGTAGCATGTAACCTTTCGTCTGTAATTCTCACAGCGAGTTTCCGCAGATACATTATTTTTTTTTCCTTGAAAAAGTAAGCATGGAGGATTTATTCGTTGCCATTCTGTTGTGTTGACTAGATATTACTGCGGACAGAAATGTACAAAAATACTTGAAGCCAAAACTTTAGCAGTCAGTGTCACCATGATTGGGCACCCCTGTAAAAGGAGACCATACACACCTCTGCCTTTCTCCACATACACACTAACAGGCTTTTCTTCTCTTTTATCTCTATTGCCTGTTTCCTGTAATTCAGCTTCTGTTGCTGTTCTTATCTCTGCAGAGTAATTGTGTGTGTGTGTGAATACACTTGCTGTTCCCCCCTCTTATCAGACAAACAGAGACCTCCTTTAAAGTGTGTGTATCTATTAGTTCCTTTATCAGACCAATCTGTCACCGCTTTCATTGCTTAGTTGTGTCTAGCTGAGTGGGAGGAACAGCACACACACACACACACACACACACACACACACACACACACACACACACACACACACACACACACACACACACACACACATGCATGGTCCCAGGAAACCCAATAAGCAGCGTGGAGGCCGGTACAGCACGTCTGCAGGTCTGTAAATTTTGCAGCATGTCAGAGGGGTTTTAGTCTCAGAAGGGCAAAGAGCGGTTTCTGCTTGGAGCTTCAGAGAGTTGGGTTTATATGTTTAAGAGTGTCTGCCTGGTAACCACAGCTCTGAGACCAAAGAGCCTGCCAGTAAATCAAGGTGCACATGCAGCAGCAGCAGCAGCAGCAGCACATGGTCCACAGGTGGGAAACTCTCAGAAGCCTTATACTCCTCTACAGTTTGCCCTCCCTTTCGGCTCAAAGGCCGACTGAGCCTGACCCCGCTGTCCTGCTGGATGACAAATAGTCTGACTCCCTGGCTGGATGACCCACCTGTTGGGTGAAGGGCTGAACTGAGTGTCTTTTGGTTCAAGTGTGTGTCCACTTAGCGGTTAAGTGGATACTACAGATGTCTCAGGAAGATATGGAGACGGTAGAAGAAGAAAGGCTGCTAACACCTCCATGTTATGGTATCTTCTCCACCACCTTCATCTTGAATAAGACTGATATATATATCTGTCATGTTCCTAGATGAAGACAGAATTCCTTGGATGAGGCTTCTGGCGCCTGGAGTTATGCGTAAAAAATCATGCAAAAGATCTTTGCTTAATGGAGAGGGTGGAGAATTTATTTTTTGTGCCTCATTCAGAGATTGCACAATGTGAGAGTTTTCAACTCTGCCAATCGTTTACCATAAAGCTGCTGTTTGAAGTCTGAACACCCCCCCCCCATCCCACAAATTTAGTTTGTGTGTTCTGTGCCAATAAGGATAATTTGTTGGCCCTGATGTGGAGCCAACCAGAGTCTGTGTTCCATTATAATTAGGTTTCTGCTCCTCCACAAGTATCTTTGGAGAGCAGAGAGAGACGGTGCTGTTGGGTTGTTGGTACAGTGTGCATACAGCTCTCTGAAACAAGTCTATTTATTAGGAGGTCAGGTTTTGTTTGTTGTGTTGTTTGGTGTTTTATTGATCCAATGAAGTGGCTGAAAGTCTTGTTTTTGGGCCTTAACAGCCTGACATACCAAGGAGATCATCAGCCATCTGTCCTTGTTGGACCAATGGTGAGCGATCGTCGTCCAAGTTTTTGTGGAGTGTCCAGCTCCATCGCTACCTGTCAGTCCCCATTTGCCTTTTTCCGGCTGATTTGATGGTGAATCGAAGTCGGTTGGCATCGGCTCAGTCGGTGAGAGGAATCTCTCTGATTGGCTGTTGGGAGGTTTCATTTCTCTCCAGCTCTCTCTCAGGTTCAGTAAAGCCTCTTGAGCATGTCTCTGTAGTATCCATGCATTCACCCATTAGTGCGGTTTCTCCATATTCGTCTCCTCCGCCTCTTCTTTTCTTTTTTCCACTAAAACATCAAGAGCTGACAACGCCAGCGCCATTTTCAACTTTTAATCAGACATTATTCTCCATTAGTAGGCGACCTATAATACAAGTGGTGAGCGACAGTGGTCTGAATGGTCTTCTCATATCATAACAACGAGCTACCGCCGCCTGCTGGCATGGAGAGTTATTTCCTCTCACTCATGAGAAGATCGTACGTGGTCGTTGGCCATCGGCTGTAGTCTTTGCGGTGTGTTCAAGTGCAACTTTTTGGCCACGACGTGAGGCGACTGCACAGACGGCCTTCGTTGCCACTACGTCTTTGCC